TAGAAGTTTAATTAAATATTTGATTTTGTTATTGACAAACTTTGTCATTATTTAATTCGGTGCACGCTTAAAGTCCAGGCCTGGCACACTAACGCGAATCCGCGTAAAGTACCCGTTAGGGAACGGCTATTTCCGGCACACAGTAGTGTCGATAATCGTTGGAAAGTCGGAAAAATAATATAGTACTTTACAAACTTAATTAATATGCTTTCTTACCACACCGGGTTGTATAACTTCACAACCAACAACTGCCTACCCTTAACCATTAACCGGTGCGAAATTCTTTAAAATCGGCGAACGTTTTCGATTCCCCTCCTGGGATCTTCTTCAGGCTTACTTCTTTATAGCTTTCGTTATAACCGGATTCTTTAATTCGAATGTTTTTGAAAAAATGTAACGTGCCATTTTTCGAAAAAATTTCCGAAAACGGAAGGAATCCACGTGTTATTTCAAATGTAATTTTCTACCAATGGGGAATTGTTGTGTGCATTACGTCATAAAATTTATTTTATACAATATATTATGATTTATCGTCAATTAAAAATTGCCATGCTGCAGAGAGATTTATTTCTTCTTTGAAATTAATGCATGCGGATTTACGATCGGCTTTAAAGATTTCCAGTACCTCCAAAGTTCTTAGTTGTTCCATATGTTGGGTGGTGCAAATAACATGCGAATAAAAATTAGTAACCCTTGCTAACTGTTTGTACAATATCAGAAGCCAACATTTTTGATCTGGACAAGATATATCTAAACTATCCTATACATACGAGGTCTGTTCAAAAAGTATCGGACTTTTATTTTTTCCGCGTAAACCAATGATGCGTGGGAGGCCTCTTTCGGTGGAGTTGTGGAGGGGACAGTCATGCACAACCCTGAATTCTTTCCCGCCTGCAGGAGGCGTTAGTCATTGGCAATCGGCCTATGAGTGAGGACATGTAGCGAGCTCTCGTCGGATTCCACTAAGTTGGAAAATGACTGAACAACGTGAGCAGCGATATTACATCAAATTTTGCCAAAAACCTTGGCGATACCCGCGCATAAACCATTCGCAAGATTCAGCATACTTTCGGGGATGATCCTCGAGGCCAAAAAAAGCGTGGCAGGTCCGCAGCAATATTAAGGTCATGTTGACAGTTTTTCGACTCTTGTGGGGTGGTGTATCGTGAGTACACACCACGAGGCCAAACCATCGCAAAGGAGTACTACCAGGAGGTCCTTCGTCGTCTTTCTGATGCTGTGCGACGCAAACGACCGGATCTGTGGTCGATCAAAACTTGGCAGCTCCATCATGATAACGCATCCGCCCATTCTGCGCATCTGATTCGGGCTTTCATCGCCAAACACAGCACTCCTATGGTTCGTCACGCTCCGTACTCTCCCCATATGACTCCGTGTGACTTTTGGCTATTTCCCAAGCTGAAAATGCCGCTAAAAGGAACCTGATTTTAGTCGAGAGAAGACATCGTGCGGAATGCGACGGACCGGCTGATGGCCATTCCAAAAGATGCGTTCCAGCAGTGTTTCCAGCAAGGCAGGAACGCTGGAAGAAGTGTATACTCTACCAAGGAGACTACTTTGAAGGGGATTAGGGTTTTGTACCTCAAAATCAATAAATGTATTTTTGCCGACCAAAGGTACTTTTTGAACAGACCTCGTATATAGATTTCATTTCTTTAATTGAATCATTAAATCTAAAGACAGATATCTTGTACTGTGGAATGTTAAAGTTTGGAATCAAATCTTTATTTGATATTCACAACAAAGTAACAATTTTCAAGTCATGTGCTGTTCATTTTTGAAAATGTTTGTCATAAAGTACTCTGATTAGAAAATTTAAGTCCATTATGGTCTTGTTTATCTGGTGTGCATGTCACCAGGCACCATATAAAAAATTCTGTATAGATTGCTCTATCCAAAGTCCCAGGGAATTGCAAATTTATGGCATGCATTCTCAAAGTGGCACATTGGAGGAATCATCTGGCATGTAACATATCATATTATTTAGATTTTTTAATTGTCTTTTTCAATCATCCTTTTAGTTTATCATTTGATTATCATTTTTTTCACTCAGCTTCTTTATATTTATTCTAATAAAGCAGAGTTTCTTAACAGGGGGTCCATAAAAAGTTTGCCAGATGCTGCCAAATTATGTATAATTTATGCATATTTGTGTGATAAAGGGTTTTCAACTATGGTGGATATAAAAGCACAATCAATTGTGATTAGATGCCTGCATGTGGATAGCATTACAAACAATTGAACCAAGAATTAACAAATTAGTTGAGGATATTCAGCAGCAGAAATCTCATTAAATTATTTTCGAATATTTTTTGTTTTTCCTATGAATTTTTAAATGTTTCTAATTTTTAGTTTTTGTTAAAAATTAATGAGTTTTTATGTTTAATTGTGAAGTTTGAATGTTATTTAAATAAGTAATGAAATAATAAAGTTGTTTTACATTTGTTATATAAAAAAAATAAAGCAATAATAAAAAATCAATTTATTATAGATAATTTAACAAATATAAATTAATATTAAAAAAATGCAGGTCACAAAAAAATTATGAAATATTTGGTAGGCCATGAGTATAAAAAGGTTAAGAACCACTGTAATAAAGCATATTCCTGTAATTTATTTAAATATTGTTATTTGAAGTTTAAAAACTTTGGTGCACACAAACATCTTTAAAGCTAAGTTATCTTACAATATGGCATGTGTATTCAAAAAGGTTTGCCATCCCTGACAGACACTTAAGCGACCATTAACAATTAAGAGAGAAATGTTTAAAATATTGTACTTGTGTTTTACTATAATGAATAACATTTTAGGCTGATGTTTCTGAATATACACAGCAAAATTTTATTAAACTGCATTGAGTTTCACTACTTGAAAAAAATATGGGCAAACCAGGTTATCTTGATGCAGCAAGTAGCATTCAGTAGTTCTCCACATTCAGTGAAGGTAAGAGTGGGTTAACCTAACTGTTCACCATTTATGATTTCAATAATAAATCACTGCATAAAAACAATTTATTACTGGATAAGTTAATTTTATTCATTATTGCTATTTATTAAACATTTAGGTTTATTGTTGCTATTGATAATAAATTCATAAATTTAATTTATTTAGTAGGAGTTAAAGTTACTGTTATTTTCATATAATAATCTGTAAATTATTTTGCCAAATAATACTGAAAACTCCAAGCAAAAGTTTTTAACTTGTAAAAATAACTTCATTAAAACTTAATTAGTCTATTTAGATTTTGCATTATAATAATAATGTTTATATGTTTAATTCTATTTATTTCAGTAATTGTGGTAACACTAACTTTTCCTGGAGAATGTCTTGTAATCGTTGTCAAGCACCACGTGATGGAAACGCTGGTGGAATGGAATCTGGGGAACGTGGTTCAAGAGGAGGACATAGAGGAGGGATGAGAGGTGAAGGTGGTCGTGGAGGCAGAGGTGGAAGAGGTCGTGGTGGTCAGATGGGTGGAAGAGGATTTGGTAGAGGAGGAGGTCGTGGAGGTGGCCCAATGCGAGGTGGTGGTGGAGGTGGTCCAGGGTAAGATATTGAAATTATGATTTTACTTGTCTTTTATAAAGTAAGGTACTTATTAAATATATGTTATATTACAGTGGAGAACGACGACCTCGTCCATATTAAATTTTGAAACTGGCATATATGTTGATGTGTAAAGTCATTTTTGTAATTCAGTGTATTAATTCATCATTAGTTAACATCAGAAGAAATTTGCCTCCACTTGTCACGTATTCATTTATATAAGAAATTATTGTCTTTTATTTTTGTCCTGGACTATTGACATGATTAAACACTGTAGTCTGTATTATAGTCTTAATGTGGTATTTTAAAGAAAATATAAATTCTTTTTTAATTCACGTTAAGCATTTTTGTGTTGCTTACAATAAGCAATCAGAGGACTAGTTATTTCTATATGTACAGTTAAAATACATTAAACTAACCAGAAATTGGAGTTTACAAGAGCATAAATTGATATTTCGTGCATGCGGTTTTGTTTAAATTTTAGAGTAAATACATCTGTTATTTGTGTACAAATGCAGTTTTGTATGTAATAAATTTTGTAAAACGATTTTTACAATGAAATTGCATCCAGCAATTCGAAATATTTTTTTTAATTAAAGTTCAAAANATATATATATATGTTATTGTATGAAATATCTGATGATGTGCACTGATTAATGTTGACAGACGACAAAATCATCAAAAAAACAATATGGCGTCGTCATGGTAACTTAATATGCTTGCTTACACCATCTATTAGCAAACAGCGGATTTAAGCTTACACACCTGGTATAATTACTTCTTCTATGAATTGCTAACATAAATAAAGAAAACTGGGAGAAAGCAATGCTTGAAAGATACCTTCTAAATATCAATACCTATTGGCAAGTGTTCAGAGGTGTGGTGCATACAGATGTGTATTATGTGAGGTTTTAATTTTCATTTTAGCAGAGTTTTTAGGATATTTGCTGCTAATTATATACACAAGATTATGGCAAATATTTTTAAAATTTTTTTTTATCTGAATATTGTGTGTTTAGTTGGGAGCAAAACAATCTTTTTTGGTCTGTGTGATTTTTTTTTGTTTGTTTGTTTTTGTTTTTAAATATAAAAATTCTCTTATCGTATTGCCTTCAAAATGTATTCAAACTATTTAAGACTTAACAAAAGTTGGATTTATTTTCATATTAAATTTGAAATAATATAAACTAGCAAATGTTGGTAATTTTTTTTATTCCATTTAGGTATTTCTGTTAATGAATATTATAAAAGATAACTCTTGAAATCTTACATCAAACATGAAGATTGTTTTCTTTTCAATATTTCTTGAATAATTTTATTTTCTGTTTGTTGTTCCACTTTTAAAAGTTGAAATAACAGCATAATTCTAATATTTTTATTGTTTTTAATAAATTGTTTGTAATAAATAAATGAATTATATGCAGTTATACAATCTTTATAATCACAAAATGTTGGCAATATATGAATTGAAGAAGGTATAATCTAATATATATTAATGTAAAAAAATATTCTAAATAGGTGGTCGAGGAGGAGGCGGAGGTGGTGGTGGCGGAAGTGGTGGAAGTGGAGGTGGTAGTGGTGGAGGAGGAGGAGGAAATATGTCTGGTAGAGATGGTGACTGGAAATGTCCACATCCGTAAGTATTAGCAATTGTAATTATAAATAGAAAATTTATCAAGGATGTAGCTATGTTTTCTTTAATTGTTCCATTTTTTACTCTAATATAATATAAACTAATTTTGGAATCTTATTATCAAACATATATCTGAATTGCAAGATTATGTTTTTTACCAGTAATTAGTTAAAAGTCAGCACTAATTATACTCACTAGACCTAATTAAATTTGATGGATAATAATATAGGTCCTCTTAACATTCCTAAAGCAGAAAAGGTTACTAAAGCAAACATATGCACATCCACACACATTTATTACAAGAATTGGGATGTGTAACAAACTAATGTGCTAATGTACTGTACAACAGTACATTAGTGCATTATATATATATATTTTCTTAAAAATATATATATTATATATA